CAAAATTTGTTATGGCTTTATATCGAATTTTACAACTAAATATGTTTGTTTACTTATCAATTTAATAGTCATTGCTAGGTGATACCTGAAATTATTTATGAAATTGAGGTAAAAGAGAAAGACTTTCTAACAGTAAATACATAATAATTCTTGACCTTTTATTAAACTCACTTAACTATTTTTAATTGTTCCCTTTTATTTAATTTCAGGTTGCTCTAAGGTGTACACGAAGAGCTCGCATTTGAAGGCCCATCAAAGGATACACACTGGTGAGTTTTCCCTGAAATGAAAACGGCCCACTGAAAACCCAACCACCCACTTGATGACCCCGCATTTGACCCCCTGTCGCAGATTGGCCCACTGCGATCCTTCAGCTCGCATGTGGGCTGCGCACCACTGAGCAAAAAACTGACCCAACTGCACCACTGAACCGCCGATGAGCCACCGGCGAACAGCTGCACCACTCGGTTTTTGGGACGTTGGGCAACCGTCGCCTTTTGATTAATTCGCGCGCTCATATTTGTAGTTGCCAGCACATAATTTGCCAAGGCCCAGAGAGCTTCGAGCGCCTTTTTTGAGTGCCATGCACTGGGAATAATTTCTGATTAATATGGTGAAAACAAGTCTTGAAGATAAACTTATTGTAAAGTAATAGGTCGAAATATCACAGTACACAGATCCAAACTCAAGCTTTTAAAGCCAACAAGTTTATTTTTAAAAATTTCTTTTTCATCACAGGATATTATAAAAATATCGTAAACCTCTACAACAAGAAAGAAATTTACTAGTTTTTAGACTCTACGATATTTTAAAATATTTGTATTTTTTGTAACCTCAACCAATTGAACTGTTTCGTTGTTTAAAATTGTTTAGGGCGGAATTTAAAAAACCCCATTTATTTTCATAATGAAATCTCATCTCATTGATCTTGAAAATTATTTTCTGTGTGCTGTTCATTTTCAATTTCTGCGCCACGGAGGCAACCGCAGCGAAAATCGTGATTTGTCCGGTTTGTTTTTGCGGCTCTGGGTTCGTTTTTTCCGTTTTTTCCCCGTTTTTGTGGTCAGTTGCAGTTGCAAGTTGGCAGTTGCAACATCAGCAATCGCCAATCGCCAACGCCATCAGCTGGGCGCACGTTTGGCCTGCATTTCCTCCTTGCTCGGATTACACTTGACGATCCGTAGCCGTGGTTGTTGCTTTTGCCACTGCCCATTGCCCATTGCCCACCGATCACCGAGATCACCTGTCTTCGTTTTATGGGCCGCACGTTTAATGCCTCCACAAAGGCAGAGGGAAAAATAATACTGAAATGAGGAAGAGGCTAAAAAAAAAATGGCAGAATCCCATCTCTCCGCCGTTTTATTAATCGCACATGACCAGCTGATTTATGCGCAACTTAAAGCGCTGCCTTAAAAACATTTTTATTATTATGATTTTTGTGCGCAGCGCTGATTTTCACTCAGCTGATAAAGTTAACGCCCCATCAACGAGAGGTCGGCAGCTTTGGGTTAACCCCGGACTTTATTCCAGTTCCCTTGAGATCGCTAAAAGTTCTCTATCGGATTTGGAGCAGTTCGTAGCACCCAGCCAGCTTCGGGCCAACACGAATTCCGGGACGGGGTTTATTCGATTTAGGTTTGAGCCGACTTTCGCAATTCCTCGAGTGGCAAAGTGGCAGAGTGGCAGGCCGAGATGCAGAAACGCTTTGCTACCGTCTGATGGCTGTCGGTTTGTTTGGCTTTCGAGTTAGTTAGCGTTCCGGCAGAGCCCAGCCCATTCCATTCATAGATTTCATTGATATTCCCCCCGGCTCCAAGGCACACACACATTTTTCATGCCATTTTTGAGGCGCCACCAGGCTGTTGTCTCTGCTGATTAGCAACGCCGGGCTGAGAATTCGAGAGTTTTCGGGGGGAAAACGGGGGAAAAGGTGGCGAGATTGAGAGATTTCCACCGCAAACATTTACCAAAGTCATCGAGCTGTCCGCGGCAGTTCGTTTCCTAAGTCTTTCGTTTGCGCAAAGTGAAGAGGTCCATTAGCAAAGGAAAACCTATTGGTCAACACTCGATTCTGCTGGAGATCTGTTAATATGTCAGTTATGTATGGGAAAAAATGGTATTTGGATGTTTTGAGCATTTTTTAAATTTAATTTATATACAAAAAAAATGTTTTATTAAAATATTTGGCACTTAGAGCTCACTGTGTATTTTAAAAATCAATCTTTTCTTTGTTTATTTTACCTTCCAACCTTTTCCCCATTTTAATTTCCCCACCTCTTGCCATCTTCATCTCATCACAAAACCTCGAGGCTCGTAAATTTGTCATTTTTATTTGGGCTTTTTGTTTTTATCTGGCTGCGTCGATTAGAAAATCACTTGGTAACTAATCTTTATGCAGCCGGCGAACGCATAAATTTGCCATATCTCCCAACCAGTCTCTAGTTTGCAGTCCAGTATCCCAGTGTCCATGGCCTGGCCCTAGGATTCGGCTGGAACTGGCTTATTTTGTACTGATTTGTTTGCTAATACGTTCGCGCTGCCATAAATTAGTTTGATTTTATGCCCAGCGACTGGAGGAGGTCTTTTATGGACCAGTGTGGTCCAGTGTGGCCCAGCCTGGGGGCTCTAGTCCGCGGATCGCAGCTCCAGTCGCCGATGGAGCCTGAATTTATTTATATTGCCGCCGTGGCCTTATCGCGGCTGTAAGTAAAATTATGAAGTAATTCCGCTGCTCTTATCGCATTGCGTTCATCGCACATTACAAAACAACATTTACATAACTTTTGTTTGTTCGCCAGTCGTTTGTTTGTTGCCTTGTTTGCGGCTGTGTGGCTGCCGTGATCATTGCCAAATTAAATTCCCACGGCCGGGGAGGTCTTTAATGTCCCATTCTGGGCCACATGACTCACTCACTCCGACCGGAATGGCCATTTTGGAATCCAAATGCCCCACGTGTCCATCTAAGCCCGCGATCCCCAGCTCCGCGATTATGTTCGCATCTCCAGGCACTTAAGTTCATTAAAAGAGATCTAAATAAACCAATAAGTCACGCCACGAGTCGAGGGGCATTGGGTTTCTATCCGAAAAGCCCCGGCAAAGTGTCAGCTGAGTGCCACTCGAGATCTCTTGGGTTCGAGGGCCCCCAAAATGTCCGAGGAAACCAAACAAAATTTGTGCGTTTGTTCGATGTACAAAATAATAATAAACAACAATCACAAGTCTGCTCGCTTTGATGTTGGCTGAGATCTCGAGATGGAGATGGAAGATGAATTCAAGAGGCTATGGAATCTGTATACATAGGGGAAAGTTCGGGGAGAAAGATGTTTAGGGTTGGAACATTAAAACATTTTTGATGCCGTATTTAAATATTATTACTTTTATAAAAAAAAATATATTTAGTTTCATAAATAAAACATCGAAATATTTTCCTATCCCTTTTTTAGACCCCTTCGAACCGCTGTCTTTCAGCACCTAAATCTAAATCTCAATTTTGCACACCCCAACCAATCCAATTGGATTATGTCCATGGATAAACCATTCGATTCGCTCCACAAAACCCAGTCAGGCAACCAAAAATGTCAAGTTCACTCACAAATCTCCAGCCGCCATAATTATTTCATTCAACTTCAATTTAAATTCGAACACAAATGTTTATGTTTGTGTCGTTATGTTCGTAGTAATTTTGGGGGGGTTTCGGAGGGTCTGAATTAGTCATAGAGCGGTGCCAATAACAAAGAGTTTCGCTCACCGGCCGGTGGAATTTATTCGAATGTCTTTGGCTCGGAAGGAATGGTAATGGAAATCACAAAGTACAAAATGCAAAATACAAAACATGCAAACTTGTGTAAGCAAACTGCTGCAGCTGCCGTTCTGCTGTTGTCATTTTGCTATGGCCAAAACAATGAAGTTTCAATTATTTCTCAATTATTTACACAATGTTTTCAGATCAATTTGGGTTGTGAAATGGCTTTATAGTCGGGGGGATCTATGTTTCTAGGTTTTTCAGTGGCTTTAATTTCATCTTATTAATTTTAAATATGAAACTATGCAGTTTTAAAAGTAAAGTTGATTTAAACTTTGATTTTCACATACAAATATTTCTTTAAATTAAAAAAATTTCTATAAAAAATATCTGCTACCATACCGTCCTTTAAAAACTTAATTTATTAGATAGGCATTTTCTAAAAGATTATGGAGCTCTCAGACAATCTCTCAAATATTATAGATTATTTCCAAACGATACTATTTGAGTATCTTACTTATCCAAGATCCTCCATTTCCATTTTTCCAGGTGAGAAGCCCTACACCTGCCAGTGGCCGGAGTGCGAGTGGAGGTTCGCCAGGTCCGATGAGCTGACCCGGCACTACCGGAAACACACGGGGGCCAAACCCTTCAAGTGCATCGTCTGCGAGCGGAGCTTCGCGAGGAGCGATCACCTGGCGCTTCACATGAAGCGCCATCTACCCAAGAACAAATGAGGAAGGCGCGGGGTCCCAGCGAACCCAGATACAAAATCAACTATACCACAATCCAAAGGACTTTAGCGTAGATAAAATGAATTCGTTTAGTTAAAAGGTTAACTACTACATGGTACACACACTCTACTCTAGGAACAGCTAACCAATTGGGGGTGGGGATGCCTGGATTATCACCAGATAATACCAGATATCACCCACTCGATTAACTCAAACGCGAAGTAGGCTAAGTAAAAGAAATTACCACCTGCTTGACGAACATCCTATGTACCAACTAACCCGCACCACAAGGCAAAATCACCTTCGGCACCACAATCACAAATTGAACTAGGCTAAAGTAGCGTTACGTTACCATGTATAAACTTATTTCTTTGCATATAGTATACTAGATCTACATAGATGTTTAATCAGAATTCGGAAACTAGGTGGGTTAAGTAGCCGTAGTCCCATGTATTCTACTTGTATATCACTATCGTATGTATCTTAGTGTCGTAAACCGTTTCAAATCCACCAAAAAGTGCTGGCACAAAAACATCCAATAAATTTATTTGAAAACCACTTCTAGGAAATATCTTACTGTTTGGCAAACTTTTGGGTGCATTCGCGGGCATTCTCATCATGTAGGGAGCGATTGCGCTTATAGAGTGCAGCGATTGTCGGTTCCAGTGGATCGTTTGGGTTCGGATCGGCCATCAAGGACATGATGGAGATGAGGAGCTTGGAGACGGACAAAGCTGGCGACCACTGGTCTTTGAGAATGTCCAGGCAGATGTGGCCGGACATGGCGATGTTGCAATGGTAAATCCGAGTGATAAAAGAAATATACGGTGCTTGGAATGGATAGGTCTTGGGAAAGACAAGCTGCAACTTGAAGTGCCCGCCTTCATAAGGGGTTTCCGGGGGACCTGGTATGGTGGCTATCCAGAGGAACAGGTTGTTATCGACCACCTCAACGTTGCAGCCTTCTATGGTTCCCCTCGAGAACTCGGCGATCTCCTTTTGCAATCTGGCTGTGGTGAGGGGGCTACCTTGGGTGGGAATTTCGGTACCAATGCGTTCAAGTCTCTGTATTAGGGAAATATTTTGACCCGTAGGATTGCTTGCCATCGGTGGATCGCCACGGAAAAAATTCATTACCATTCCTACGACCCCAACTCGTCGCGGAGGTGTCTCAGGAGCAGCTGGGTTGTTGGGTGGGTTCGTACCTGTGCCTTCCGGACCACCTTCATTAGCCACCACCGAAGCGGGATTTCTAGATCTATTTGGTGGAATTCTGGCAATGTTCCTTCCCCTCGCAGTCCCACGACCACCTCTTTGTCTACGAGTTGATATAGTTGATGCACGACCTCGATTGGCGACTCGAGCGGTTGGAATCCGGCTCCTGGTGGCTCCACGGGCACCACGAATTGCCGTGGCCTGTGGATTCGCATTGCGAGTCCGGTGAAGTCTGTCTTCTGGAAGGGAATTTGATCGGGTGCTAGCTGCTGCATCCACGGCTTCCCTCTGACATCGAATCCTCTCACTTCGTCTGGGCGGCATTTTCTTGCAAATAAAAATAAAATTAATAAATTTAATAATTTTATGTCTCACTACTCACAGGTGTGGAAGGAGCTGCTGGAATCTATTGACAGCAAAAACCCATGCATGCTTATTATCCACGAAAATCGATAACTGAGTTGTCACCTACATGAAAATCACAACTATCGATAGAAAGCTCTTAAATATATTTGGGGTATTCCTCGAGACAGTAGAAATTCTGTGAATCAGAGTTGTCACCTTGTTTCATTTAAAAATCAATATCAACTCTGTAACATTTTACTATCACCAGTATCCATTATTTACCCTAAAATCATATAAGTAAATGTATTTTAATCCTTATTTATAATTTTAGATAAGTATTTTAATTTGCCAACTTTTCACAAATGGTTAAACAAATTAATAGGAATTCCCAGAATATTTTTCTAAAACTTTTTTTATTTCTTACCCCAGTTTATTTATTTTAATATATAGCTTTTAACAGCAGACTGTTTCGTGACTGTACTAAAAATCTTATTCTATTAGCAATTCACGGCTTGATTTGTTTGTCACTTATTTATTGCAATCACCTGGACTTTAAACAATTATTAACATTTCCCCAATACGTGCCTGGCAAGGCAAACACAAATCATTGAAAGTTTTCCCCGTCCGAGATCTATTCGAAACTCTCCACACGTCACAAGGGCCGTCATAAGTTTTTCTATCGTCTAAAAAGACAATAATTTCATTTAGATGAGAATGTAAACCCGATAAGTGTGACCCCATGCCGAACGAAATGTCTTGGAACTCAATTGGGTTTTGTTGTACTGGGCTCGCGATCATTATCAAAATATTTTGTACACGAAACAAACATGTCAAGCAAATGTCTTTGCCCCCTACCCAAACCTCGAAAGCGACCCGAAAAAAAATTGTTAAAAATAACAATAATAATTTCAATTGTCTGCCTGCATTTCGATTTGAACGCGTCATGTTGTTTTGATTGGGGCGATGATAAAAGTAATTTAGCTTTTGCCCCTTTCTAGAGGGTATTAATGTATAGGGTAGAGTTCAGAAACTAAACGATATTTTTGGATAGAACCAGTTTGACTTACCATAAATTTAAAGCAATTAATTAGGGGATTATGCATATGATCTGTGGGCTGGCTGAGATGAATATGGGAGTTTCTTCATCTATGAGGTGAAATATATTTTTCCTTATGTTTGCTTCTGTTTCCTCATAGTTAAGAACCAATTTATGGAATTAAAATTCCAACAAATTACACAAAGAATTAAGAAAAAAATGAGTTTGAAAAAACAAAATGTTTATTATTTTTAAGATTATTTTTGTTTAATTCTACAAAATATATTTTTTGAGGTGTAATACCGATGTTTACAAGTAAGTACTCGATTATGCCCTTCTCGTGGGCGTTGAGACATTGGCATGCCCCCATTCATTCATCGCAGCATCTTAGCATCCACTGGCACATCCACAGCCCCAACCCCATCCATTCGCATCCACATCCACATCCATCCAGTGCCATTCCAGCACCACTCTTCAATTGTGCTGCGTTTCGGGCTGATTAATCATTTGGCGACTGACAGCTCAACTTTGCGGCCACAACGGGGCAACCGCTTATTAAATTGGCTTAAGATCGCCGGATAAACCTAAAGTACGTGTAGGAATGGGACCCCACAACTGGATGTATTATGCATATAGTACGTCGCACAAAGGTTTTGTCTACAGCACCCACTTGGCCACATGGGATATTGTTCGAGGGCAACAAAGCCTCATGAAATTGATTCGATTTCAGTCAGATCGCAGATGTGATAAATCTTATGATTTCAATTAATTTGTGCTCGAAAAGCGAGGGGAAGTGCACTCATTATGCCAGCTTGGTTAATGTGTCAGTGGAGTTTATAATGATATACACAGAATATGTTTTAATTTGCAGCTAATTAAGCCTGCGTCTGAACTTTGATTGATTCCGGGCGAATCGACAGGGAACTGTGAATAGCGAATAACAAATGAATGGAAATGAATGAGATGTTCAGCGATTCGAAAGGTGATTCAATAATTAAGAACTCCACTTCCTTGTGGGTGGATTTATTAGTTATCATACGAAAAGGCAATGCCTTGCCTTTAATTGTTTATATATGTGAACACTCTTGTTTTCTTATATAATTATTAATGATTGACTGAATATTTGTAATGCAAAATTATCTAATGAATCTGACAGTCAAACATACCACCATATATGTTGAAAAATTCAAGACTTTAGAATAAACCTTTGATTCGTTCTAAAAACTCTTTATTTAAACACTGCCACATCATCATAGCGGTATAATCACGTGACTGCCACACACAATCCATTAAAAATCTACAAGATGTCCCCTATTTTATGGTTAGCACTTCCTACTTCCTCTACCACTAACATCAATTTGGCAACACCTTTTACTTTCGTTTGGGCCACGAGTCCAGCTGCCGCAACACCCACAGTGACTCAAAACCCACATTCAGATATATGTATGTATATTGCAACTCCTGAGCAGGCTCATCCATTTTAAGCCAGGCCATAACATAAAAGCGCCCATTAGCCAAATGGGGGAGGACCCCCCCGGGGTATATTTACAGGGGCGTAGGGGCGCAAAAGGGGGGACAGCAGACGCCATCACTCGTGCCCGTCTGGTAATCGTGACAGACATTTGGCCAAAGCGAGGAACAGGGGGATATGGACATCTACTAGTACACTGCGAGAACATTTGACTACTTTCAAGATTATCTTTAAGGTATTCTTTAAAAAATATAGAAAATTGGAGTCCAATAGTGATGTGATCGAGTAAAATCAAAGTACTGAAACCCTAATCCCAAATTACCTGACTACTGGATGTTAAAAAGTATCAAAGTCTTAATAAAATTAATAAATTGTCATTTAAGCTTTCTACCTATTTATCCAGAAGGTCAAAAATACTTTATCTTTAAAATAATTATACTTCAAATACGGATGTAAAATCCGGATATCTCAAAGGTATACAAAGAACAATGACTATTTTAAAATGGGTCCTTCAATGCCGGATCCAAAGTGACCGTATTTTTTCAGTGTGCACCTCCTTCAGCCGCCGAAATCGAAAACCGAAAAAACGGAAAACCGCGAAACAGGAACCGCGGCTAACTAGTCTGCGATGTTGGCCTGGTCTACGATCCACGGCAAAATGGTATAATGGCAAAACTTTTGGCCAGACGTGCGCCTGCTTTGCATACAACAATATGCGACAAGACAAGACAGCCGAACACAAGACAAGCTGGCTAAAAACGGCGACAACTATAATTAAGCTTAATTGCTGTTTAGTGCGAGTCTGGGCAACTTTTCGCCGTCGTATCCCCCTGTTAAGACAAAAAAAGAGACAGACGCCCACGCACCACTTCACGTATAATTAAATTAAATTTATAATGCGAATCTCAACGCGATAAATAAGCCTAACCAGGTGTTTTTCGGGGCGCACGGGGGGTGTGGCTCCAGATATCTGGGTAATTGAAAACTTAAAGCGCACTTATCGCTCACTCTCATTGTTTTTCGTGTGTCGGGGAAATTAATTAGCAATTAAAAATGCAGCGCACAGCGATCCGTGGTTAAATGCTACAGACCCAACAAACAACAATGCCCGGGTCTCTCTAATCTGCTGGAATATAATTCATATTTATAAATAGACAAACATTATTCAAAGTGTCCGAGCGAGAGCCCGTGGCCCGAGAACCGTAAATTAAATCAAAATCAAAATGAAAACGATATGGTCTTATGCCCAGAATTTATAACGAAAATAAAGGCCAGAACACACTGAAATCGAAAATACACAGAAGGAGATCAAGGTGGGGGATGACCGACAGGGGATTGCCCTTGTAAGAACTATCTATATGGATGGTATAAGAAAAATATATGTATTTTATGAAATATAATATAACATTCCTATGATATAATATACATAAAAGTATCTAATAATCTTAAATTAAATAATATTTAAAATAAAGTAAAATAATTCGAACTTATCAATAAAGTAAAAGCTTCTGCCCGTTTCATATACCATATGGTAAAATTATTTGAAACTTCTAATAATCGTATTTTTACATACTAGTAAACGATATATATGGTAAAAATATCAAATAGCTCTCAGGAATAACGTGCTTACAATCGAATAATTTCAAAATTATTAATTAGGGAGTTAATAAATCTTGCATTTCGTTTTGAATCCACCCTTATTCTCAAATGTTAGTTCATGGCCTATTCAAGGCACCCCTAGAAAAGGGTACCCAAAGCCATTTGGCCAGTGTCCGCCCACAAAAAAGCGTTGTTAGCAGTTAGCAGTTGGGAAGTTGGAGGTTGGGAACTTGGCCGCTGTCCGCCGGTCTCCCTTGTCCGTTTCTGGGCTTTTCAACCCGGCTTGTGACTCAATGCAGCTGCAGTTGATCGACCGATCGATCCGATCCGAGGCACTGGTAACTGAACACAGAAAACAGAAAAATGAAAACGGTTGCTGCATTGGCAATGAACTTTTCGCAACGAAAAAAAGACAAAAGTCTAGACTTTGAACTCGGTCAAGTCGAGACACATTTGTGAAACTGTTTGCATATTTAATTGAACACCTACAACAACAATAAATGAGCTGCAGCTGCGGCAAAATCGCTTTTTCGCAATAATAAGCATAAGCATAATAATAATCAGGCGCAAACAGGCTCAATGGGCCGAAAAGTGGCCAACGGGCGAATAAACTAAGTCGTGCTTGGCCAAAACTAATGACCATACCTACCATATTTAGCGCCAAAAGCTGGCAATCCTTCGCGGCAACATCTGTGTCAACCTTGGCAGCTTCAGAGTTGCAGAGTGAGAGGATCTGACACTTGGGCTGGCAACCCTAGTCATTTACACGATTTGAATTTTTTTGTTTTGGTCAAATGTGATAAAGCTGTTAAACCAACTTTGCAGGCATAAGCCACATATAGTCTCTTGGTCAATTGTTTTTACAGAAATTTCTCCTTTAAATCTCTTTTTGAAAAAATTGTCTCAAAAAACTATACCTTCTTTGATGAAATGATAAATTTTAACTTTTTTTTAAAATTAATAAAGGACACGCAACTGAATATTTTATGACGATGTTTTCAAAAATTATTATATATTTTTCAAAAACCAAATAATATTGATCTATGGATATATGGATATATGGATTCAATACTGGGCAGCCCTTCGCTTAACCTACTGAGTTCTAAGCTTTTACACAGAATATAGCTGATCTGCCAGCTCTGATTGATTGCCATCTCGATTCCAGTGTTGCAAAGTGAGCGTTTGTCTCGTAGCTTGTACTAGCAAAAGTATTAGACGGCAGATGAATCGGTTCGATTAAATTTAATTACATTTAAAACAATTTAATGGACACGGTAGATGGATATAAGTAAACCCAATCTTCGACATGACTTAAAAATAAATAAATTCGGCAAACCCATCGAGCGCCTTAAAGCTTTTATATCAAAATAGCTGATTTGCCAGCTCTGATTGGTTGCCATCTTGTTTCCAGTGCTGCAAAGTGAGCGCTTGTCACTTAGCTTACCAGGAAAAGTATTGGAGGACAGAAGAATTGGTTCTATTTAATTTAATTAAGTTTAAATCAATTCGATGGACACGGATCGTCGACCCAGACTCAGACGCAGTGCTCGCCTTCGTCGCATCCTGTTGCGCAGACTCCTTGCGATTCTTCCAGTTCAAAACTACCGCGTGATCTTCTTTCTGGATTCAAGACCTTCTGCTGCTCGTAGGATAATTTTGAATGGGCCGCACCCACACCTCCATGTGCTTTCTGGTCCATCGGTACCGAATCGACCTAGGTTCATGCGCATGGATCTGTCGCGACCGTTCAATGTGGTTCAGTCCGTCCTGTTGCCGATAGCAAGAGCTCCGTCTGCTTTCCCTCAATGGATTCGATACACCTCTGTATCTCGATGGGACCGTCCATTCGGAGACGTCAGAGGAGTACTACTGATGGGCATGATCGTGGACTCTTCGGTGGAGACCCTAATGCGCCAAAATCCCACCAGAGCCATGTCCCTGATCCTGTACATTGCCCACTACTTCCTCTACTAAACTAAACCAATGGATATACAAATACCGAAAAAGCTTTAATGTATTGTCAAGTATCTTCTGCAGAGGTTAAAAATATTGTATGCGATGTTGAAACCTGCTAAATAAAGAAACTATGTCAGAAGTCGAAACCTAAATTGTTTACAACATTTATAGTTCCCTTTATGATTCATGGCTGACAACACTGGCTCACTCGATTTTTGCCCTCGATTTCAGTGTTGTGTACCAATCGATTGTGACACGAGGTTTTACAAGAAGTTTTCTCGCGGAGAAAAAATAAAATTTTGGAACAAAGTCTAAAACGATTTCAAAACCATGCCTCAACAACCTCGACACAGTGAGCGCTTTCGTCGCATCCAAGCACCGGGACGCCTCAGGGCTCTGTTTTTCCTATATACCAGGCCTCGGGAATCACTTCGCAGAAGAGGCCCCATTAATTCGGGACTACAACTTCAGATAGTCTCCGCTGCCCTGACAGTAACCCCGCCCCGTATGATACCGCTGTCTAACCGGAACTCTTTGTTTCGGTTAGTCCTGGTGCCACGGGCCACATTTGGCATTGCTCGAATCATTCCGCGGTATGTGCGGTACTTGGACCTGAGCCCCCCTGGAATCAACAGGATAACCCGTCGACCGGGGATCGCAGGCGGCCGCCTTCTAATGGCCATGATAGTGGATCCTAGGCTGCATCTTTTGATGCATAGGAATCCTCTCCGTGGATTGCCATTAATCCTACGCGTTGCGCACTACTTCGCCAGCTAAAAAGTTTTAAAACCTCTAAAAATTTCAATCAAGTTGACCATTGAGAGATGTTAAAACTAACTAAGGACCTGATATACATATATTTCACTTTCCGCGGAGATTAGAAAAATTGTAATTGTCCGCTGAGATCTTATAACTTAAACTTCCACGATTTTTTAAAAAGTCTGAAATGTTAGTAAACTTTGGAAACTTTTCACATCTGAACGAATTTATGCATCTGTAGAGATCAGAAAAATTGTAATTGTATACACATTTCATACAGATATAACTTTAGATAGATCAGATATATATACTAAAGCTAATGCTAAATATTGAACACTTAAAATCATTCAGGAGAGTTAAAATTTGCACAAGGAATTAAATGTATTCAATTAATAAAAACTCAAAGATATTCTCTTTAAGACCTGTTTTATAATATAATCATTCCTAATGTTGTACCTTGAAATCATCTGTATGGATAGCTTTTAAGCAATTTTTTTGAGAGATACCTAAACGATTTGCATCTGCGAGTGCGGTGGCACAATGAACAATCGCTTCCTGCAGCCGGCGACTTGGACATCACTCTTCATATGTCAGGCGGATTGTCGTTTATGAGCTCGATACAGATGCTCGATACTTGTCCTGGAGGCGGAGGCATGATACCCGCGGATACTCGTGATTAATTGTGGGGCACGCGACGATGCGATGCCAATCGGCTGCCCCAAGTGACAAAAATCAATGCAACTGCAATGTGTGAGATGAGCAAGTGTGGCAAAGAAGCGAAAAGGGAGGCGACTGACAGGAGCCATAAATCTTGGTCGACCCCAGAAGTCGGAGATGTCACGGGGCGACTGCGACTGGTGCCCACACAGAGTCCCTTATCGGGGGCCAAGTATCGGGTCTTCTGGGGAATGTACTCGCGATGGGCAGAACGCAATGGAACGGAAGTTGGCCACAATCAATCTCAATTAAACTGATAGCTACTGCGCGGAGGAGTCGCCTTATTTGGCTTATTTATTTTTTGAAGCCATGTAATGATTGCAAGGTATTTATGAAGGTTAATGATTTTATGGTCTACAGCAGTAGTTGAGTATAAAAAAGGTCTGTGGCAGATAAATACATATTTATAAATCAGTTAAATATTTCACTATCGATGACACATAATGTTAAAATATTTTTAGAACTGATTGGATTTAAGAACCAAAAAAATGTTATCACATTTATAATTAATCTTTGAGCTAAGTTACTATTTCTTTTCAGAAATGATTTGATTTGGTAATCCTCCATTTGTTAAAGAGTTCAGTTTATTGTGGAAATAGTTAGGTAATGACCTAAAAAACATTTCATTTCTATTATGTCGTACCATAACTCTGGCCCAAAGTACGGCCAACACCTCAGCCACATTCGAGTGACAATCTAACACTCGCAACTAGCTCTTTAAATTGCGCACATCCGCTTGAGAGCTGCAAAGGAGCCGCAATAATTTACAACAATATAGCGCGAATAAACGCGAACAGGGGCGGGGAAAAAGGGGGTATATTGGCCATAAACTGAGCCAAGAGCACGCGTAATTTGGCCAAACATTTCCATTTCCATGCAAATGGCAGCCAGCGAGCGGCGAATCAGCGCCCATGAAAGCAATCGCAATTGCGTGTTGCACAATCGTTGTGAGTTAAAAAAGAAAAATACAAAAAAAATAAAATAAAAGACGACAGACAACCTGCAGCCTACACAACAGCCCAGAGAATCGAGAACCCAAAGCCCAGAGAACATGACATCAAATGGCAAACAAAGACCAATTACATGGAAGAAACAAACTTAAAGACAGCCGGGGAAGATTTGTCAAGGAAAGTCGAATGTGGAAACACCCTCTGAAAAGTAACGATGGTGCTCAAAGCCTTAGTTGGGAAAAGGTTGCTTGATTTAAAAATGGAACTGGAAATCAGTAAAATAAGGAAGTTAAAATACACCTTAAACAATAATTTCTTAAAACAATTTTTAATAAAAAATTTAGTTCCTTAGAAAAAGAACATTCCTGGATCTGGAATACTTCATCTTTTATTAGCAAGACTGTTCAAAAATTAGAGATAATATTCTTAGCAGTTAAAAACAATTTTTATAATAAGTAATATGAATAATATGGCAAGTGTTGAGATGGTAAGACAAAGTATTTGACAAAAAGGCAGTACCCCAAACAAAAAAGTGTCGCAAAGAACTCCAAAGCACATGGCACATGGGCGGGCAGGCGAAAAACATTAGCTGAGAAAATAAAAAAAAGAAAACCGGGGCCACATTAAAGCCCACGAACTGACTCACCGTGGAAGATGCGTTGGACGTCGGATTTCCAGGCGCAGTTACAGTTGAATAGTATACTCGTGGTATAGAACCCAACTTGGAAGTCGGCATCGACTGTTGCATGCTAAACATTGCTAAATTCAAGAGCGACCAACATTTATCACACTACGCCTATCGCGTTTTTTCCTGGCCCCTTTCCGCCGCTAATTAATGATAATGTCAGGAACTAATATGCAGAGGGACCAGAACTCCCCCGCCCGCCGGCCTGCCAGTTTATCATCAGTTAACGTTTTCATTAACCATATGTCACACGCACGTCCCTCGCATTTTCCACCCCCTTTTCATCGCGGGGATCCTTGAAAATTAAATTATGCGCTCGGGGTCGCGTGTCCTGCCACGATTTCTGACCAACTTCGGATGACTCAAAATACATAAAAATGCATACAAGCACTGGGAAAAATTGCATTAATATAATCTACAATTTTAATATTAGTTGAATTTTGGAATTCTGTTATAGTTTTCAATCCTCACAGTTCGCATTACATTTTAGAAAGAAACATGAGCATATATTGGTTTATTTATCTGAAATATCGTACACTTCTCTTTTTTATTCCATAACTGTATCAACAGTATAGTTGACAATATTACAAATATTTTTCTCAGTGTCCTCCCTGCTTTTCTTTTAGATACCATTCCCATTTCCCATAAATATCTCGAGGATCCTTCGCTACAGTTTCGGACAGTTGGCTCGTGTGCCGGTCTAAAAGGTGTTAAAATTGTGCCACAAAATTGTTTGACCTCTGGGGTTGTTTTTATGACCGTCTGACTTTCCGATGGCACAAGGACCCATGGAACTGGGAAGAGGGAACTTGGGAGCCCCATCCACCACCGATTTCACTGCCAAATGATTACGCCGCATTTTGTCGACACTGAAGTTTATGTTTTTTTACGAGGCGCGTGCCGGTGGACTTGAAAGGTGGGCAAAGTTTTTACTCCAACGGAGCACGCAATATTCCAACTAAGGGATACAAAATACACATATTCTTTTCCGTTTACAAAGCTGTGAAGAGCTGAATAATTAAAAGGGAATTAAATGGTGACGGAGAACATGTGTGATTTGAAGAGGTCAAAATACCTCTATATGTATCTAAAGTTTATAGAATCGTAAAAATGACATGAATATTCTAATTAAATTAGCATTAGCATTATCTTTTTTAATTAAAATATAACATGTGTGATTTGATTACGTTGTAATAAGATGGCCCCCAAATGGCAGACTTGCGCAATTTAATTTCGGGGTCCACCCCGTTGTGTGAACCTCTTAACCCGTGCGGCACTTTTAACCCACTAAGCCGGTAACCCAGTTTCCACACAAAAACACAGAAATCGAATGCCCAAATTTGCACATCACGCCGCCGCGTACTTCGCCTTCAATTAGCCCAAGAAACTCACGCGCCAAAATTGGCAGTCTGGAGTTGCGTAATCGCTGGAATACCTGATTGATGGATTGGCCGGGGATCAGAGAGCCATTTGGATACTCGTAGGCTAATTCAATTGCTTTATAATTGAACTAAGGAGGCGCGACGGCCGACTTCGATTCAGTTTGGAGCGTTTTAATGAGCTAACTCCAGGTCCGAAAAGCCGAACACACATGCCGCTCAGCAGGTTTTTTATTATTTTTTCGGAGTTTTCGAGCCAAGTTAATAATCTAATGGACGTTGTAATTTTTTCCATATTCGAAATTGCCCAATAATCGATTCATCCGATTCGATTTGGACTTGGATTTCAGCCGTGGCCACAATTGAAAATGAATTTTAATGCCGAATTAATGGAGGAGTTTGTTGTGAAGTGAGGTCTCTTTATGGGGAAGTGATGATGCGGTCTTTTGCCCGATGATGGATTGCCCCCCCACGCTAATTAGCCATAGTCCAATCAGTCCCCAACTACGACTCCCCCATACCAATCCGAATCCAATCAGACAAACTCCAATTTATTCGAGGTCCGCGCATAAAAAACCCATTCGTATGGCGAGCTTAAAATGTGTGTC